CGGACTTGCTGCCATCACCCTTGTTCTCGGCGATGGACTTACTGCCATCACCCTTGTTCTCAGGGACGGACTTACTGCCATCACCCTTGTTCTCGGCGACGGACTTACTGCCACCACCGTTGTCCTTGGCGACGGACTTATCGCCATCGCCGTTGGTCTTGGCGACCATCTTCCCGTCAGCGCCGCCGTTCTCGGCGACCACAAGGGCGGCCGAAGTGCCGACGTCGGCCGGGGCGGGAACCACCGGCGTGGGCCCCGAAGCAGGCGCGTCGGCGGAGGCCGCGACTGCAGCGGCGGCGGCCGCCTTCAGCTTCTCCGGATCGGCCTTCTTCTTCTTACACGCCCTCTTGCGCCTGACCGATCCGGGGGTGACCTTGGACGGCGGAGTCGGCGCGGAGGCGGAGGTCGACGCGGCGCCCTTGCCCTTGCCCTTGGCGCCCGGAGTGGCGGGCGCCTCCTTCACCATGGCTGATTGGAGCGGCCAGATCAGGGAAAAATTGCCACGAAAATTAAGAAAAACTTTGCTGAATCTACTCGTGAAAAAATCGAACTGAACTGCGCTGAATCTACTCGCGAAGATCGAACTGAGCCGCGCTGAATCTACTCGCGAAGATCGAACTGAGCACGGGCAATCGCTCGGCTCGATCTCGTCGATGGGTAGGGCACGCGACCGGCTACGATGCGGGGAGAATTGAGGAAGTGGTAACTGAAATCAATCCAGGTCCGGATGACGGAGGTGAGGAGGGAGCGTGTGAGCGTACCTTCGGTAGCGAGAAAGGGGATGACTGTCAGGGGGGTGTCACGGCGGGCGAGCCTGATGTGGCCTCCGCTCCGCGTCAGGGGTGGGGGTTTATAGGTGTGGGGAGACAGGGAGGGGAGTCGGTCGATGGACTGCGGACTGCGGACCCCGAATCCTTTGTTTGCCGGTTCGCTTTTCGACCCTACGGACGGCTCGGCTGTCTGGATCGAACGCCGTGGAGGAAACATGCCCACTTTCTGAAAAAAGGACACACACTCGTGTATACTTTTGTCAAAAAAAGGACACACACTCGTTCTAGCACGTCTCGTTCTCTTGTGGCAAGGAGCCAGGACCTGTGGATCCCTATACTATTACAATTTAACAAACTTTATACAGTATATTCAACAATCAAATGGAGTTACAAGGAAAAGACTGTGAATCATGGGGCGGCTCCCACAGCTTAAACATGGCGACGCACTGTTCTTGACGTCTGTTAGTGGTGCGCACGTACGGCTCCTCTTTTGTGAGTTTTAAAGAGGATGAACAGTTTAATGAAAACGGTTATATATGGAACATGTTGTTTTTATGTGTAGTGTCGTTACTGCTCGTGAGTTTAAATGTGTGTCGATAGTGTGCACGTACGGCTTTTCTTTTTTCGAGCTTTGTCGAGGATAACGATTTAGCTCGGATGGTTACCGGTGGAAGCCTTTGCTTGTCGCGCCTCCATTGCTCTTGAGTTCTGGCCGTTTGTGGGTGGTCATACGTACAGCTTCTTCTTTGCGATCTTTGTTTAGAATAAATGGTTTGATTATACCTATATCTAGTAGAGTAAACAAAGCTTATAAATATAGCAACGTCAACAACATTTCGTAGGGTCAAAGTTTAATAACAGAGATACTCATTTGAACATGCGTCGTATACTCTTTGTCACTTAGTATTAGCGTGGTCGTATGTTTTTTCAATGCAAACTCCATCTACTCCTTCTATATGGAAATTTAAGGTGAGATGAACAATTTTGCAAAATCAAGGCAGCACACACATGCAAGGCAACCCTTATGATCTTCTCCAAAACCTTTCAATTAATGTATTAACTCTCCAGCTCCCATGTAATCTGTTAACCAACAAGCACGTATGCCGCCAATCTTCGTGAAAGCTAACCATCTGACGGGCGCACTGAGGCAAACTAGCGCAACACAGTCGCTGCCGTCAGATCAGGGCGCAAAGATCATGCGGTCTGTAGTACGCCAGCTGGCATAGATGTATTGACTCTTCAGCTCCCATGTAATCCACTAACCGACGAGCATCTATGCCGCCAACCTCCGTGAAAGCTAACCATTTGACGATCACATTGAGGCAAACTAGCGCGATGCGGTCGCTACCGTCAGATCGGGGTGTGAAGTCACGCGGTCTGTAGTCTGCTAGTTGGCATAGAATAGTTAGGAAGAAGGGGAAATTGCAAATTCATCATGGTTATCCTCTCGTTGGGAGAGGCCATTTCCAAGAGGAGCTGCCATGCTCGTTCAAATCCCCACATGTCTCCTGGATAGCTTCTTCCTTCCCTCCCTGTGTGATGGTCTCCGTGGCGACTGCCGACCGATGCGGTTGATCTTGCCGCCCTGCGTGTGATCTCGGTTTTGGCGACTGCTCACCATCGAGCTCGACCATGTCTAGGGACAATGGACCCCTCCATCCCCGGTTATGGTAGGAGTGCGATGCGTCTAATTGCCACCTTCATCTCCGTCGCATTCTCGAGTCTGCTTGTGTTGGTCATTATCGCTCCCTTGTGTGCCGTTAGCAGCGGACTCTTCCATGACTACTTGTTGTCATGGTTGACCTCATTACCTCACGCTTGATGTGGGTTTCTGCAGGTGCTCACCATCGAGCTCGACCTAGGCTACGATTGCTCGATCATTCAATTCACCAGTTGATATAGGAGTCCATTGCGTCTGGTCACCATCGCCATCTCTGTCGCGCTATGGAATCTACTGGTGCTGCTTGTCGCCGCTTCCCTCATCTTCTCTTTGTTTCTTTCGCATAGAATGGCACACGTGACAACCACCAGCGAGGGACGGCGCGAGGCGGTTTGGTGGTCGCCTACGCGAGGCAGCATGGCCGCAGGTGGCGACGCGGACACGAGGTGGCCATCGAGGAGGGGTGGCATGGCAGCTCGGCGAGCGGCGGCGGCATCAGCGGTGACACGTTGGTGGACGGCAGCAGGAGCGGCGGGTGGCAGCACGACAATCTCAGTCCGCAAACTAACATTAGCATTTTTATGGCAAATTCATTAGTGTGATCATGGAAATTTTATTATTATCAACATTGCGAATCTTTTTATTTAATGATCATGGCAAATTTGGTTACAATTTGCATGGAAATTTTCCAATCAAGTTTTCCTCAACTTCATGATTACCTAAGTCCAAAAAGATACCATTACTTTTATGACAATTCATTTGTGCAAGCATAGCAATTTTATTACAATCAACATGCAAGTTTAAGTTTCTATTTTTATTTCAGGGAAGTATCTAATATAGATGCAGTAAGTAGGGGAAACTAGGTAGCAGATAAGCTAGTTGGGCCTGATCCTTTTCACGACTGTAATAAAAAAAATAGTAAACAAGGCAACTAGGTTTTTTATAAAAACTCCTTATCTATTCTTCTTCAATCATGGTAGTAGAATGAACATCAGAAATAGTAAAAATTATATTCAGATTCGTAGGCCACCTAGCGACGACCAGAAGCACTGAAACGAGTGAAGGTGCGCCGCCATCATCGCCCCTTGTCTACTGCTCAACTTTATTCTTGTAGACTTTGTTCACTACAAAAATTGCTCTATTCAGTGACAAAAACTCTGGTGACGAAACATGAACCGTCACCTAAAATTATTTTCTGTGATGGTCCACCGTCACGAGGTATTTTCCTCTTGGGCAGTGCCCTAGCCAACTTTGGCGACGTTCTGGCCTGATTTTTGGCGACGCATTTGGGTGTCACTACAATGTCCATTTTCTGAGACGGTTCGTAGTGTCACATAAAATGTTTGGTGTCACAAAAAATGGTCGGCTGGTTAGAAAAATAATTTAAAAAACAGCGAGTTGGTGTTCAGAATGTAGTACCTTATAATTTCTGCCATACGGAGTTTATAGGTGTGGGGAGCCAGGAAGGGGAGTCGATGCACATCCGGTGTGGACTGCGGACCCCAAATCCTTTGTCGGTTCAACACTTTTCGATCCTACGGCCGACTCGACTGTCTAGATCAAACGCCATGGAGGAAATATAGGCACTATTTTTTCCTGGTCTATTTTATGCCCGATTGGGTAAACATGCCCACTTTCTGAAAAAAGGGCACACACTCGTTCTAGCACTCTTTCTTGTGGCAAGGAGCCAGGACCCGTGGATCCTTATACTGTTGCAATTTAGCAACCTTTTATGCAGTATATATTCAACAATCAAATGGATTTGTATGGAAAAGACTACAAATCCTGGCTCCCACAGCTTAAACATAGCGATGCACTGTTCTTGACGTTTGTTAGTGGTGCGCACGTACGGCTTCACTTCTGTGAGTTTCAATGACGGTAAATGGTTTAATGAAAACAATTATCTGTGAAACATGATGTCTTTATGTGTAGTGTTGTTCCTTCTCATGAGTCCTAAATGTGTGTCGGTAGTGCGCACGTACAACTTCCCTTTTTCCGAGCTTTGTGGAGGATAACGGTTTAGATTGGACGGTTATCGATGGAACAAGTTGCCTTTACCTGCCGCGCCTTCATTGCTCTTGAGTTTTGGCCGTTTGTTGGTGGTCTTATGTACGGCTTCTTCTTTATGATCTTTGTTTAGAATAAACGGTTTGATTACAAATGTCATGGTGCCTATATCTAGTAGCGTAAAGCTTATAAATATAGCAATGTCAACAACATTTCGTAGGGCCAAAGTTTAATGACTGAGATACTCATTTGATCGCTTATTATTAGTGTGATCGTATGTTTTTCCAATGTAAACTTCATCTACTCCTTCTATATGGGAATTTAATGTGAGATGGACAATTTTGCAAAATCAAGGCAACACACGTATGCAAGGCAACCCTTATAATTTTCTCCAACACCATTTAATTAATGTAATAACTCTTCAGCTCCCATGTAATCCATTAACCAACAAGCACGTATGCCGCCAATCTTCGTGAAAGCTAACAATCTGACGGTCGCACTGAGGCGAACTAGCGCGACACAGTCGCTGTCGTCGGATTAGGGCGCAAAGATCACACGGTTCGTAATACGCCAACTGGCATAGAAGTATTGACTCTTCAGCTCCCATGTAATCCACTAACCGACGAGCATCTCTGCTGCCAACCTCCATGAAAAAAGCTAACCATTTTACGATCGCACTGGGGCGAACTAGCGCGACACAGTCGCTATCGTGAAATCAGGGTGTGAAGATCACACGGTCCGTAGTCTGCCAGTTGGCATAGAACAGTTAGGGAGAAGGGGAAATTGCAAATTCACCATGGTTATCCTCTCATTGGGATAGGCCATTTCCAAGAGGAGTTGCCATGTTCGTTCAAATCCCCACATGTCTCCTAGATAGCTTCTTCCTCGCCTCCCCCGTCATGTGATGGTCTCCGTCGCGGCTGTTGGCCGACGCGATTGATCATGCTTCCCCGCGCATGATCTCGGTTTTGGCGGCTGCTCCCATTGAGCTCAACCATGTCTAGGGGCAATCGATCCCTCCATCCCCGG